CTCGTTAAATATAATACAACGCACTCCAAACTTTATATATTTAAATATAAATGAATAAGTACAACGTTGCACCTACTTATTGATTCTTTTTTTGCACGCTAATTTTTCAAAATTTTATTTCAACTATCTACAAATGGATTCAAATTGCTAAATTACATTAATCTGCTTTAAACTTCACTTAAACGAGTACATTACGTGCGTTGTTTATTGACTGCTACACTTGTTATGGTTATTATACATACATTTACAATTATGCAATAAACGTACACAGCTAAAGCAATTACCACTGAACTCAAAATTTTTAACAGAGAGAAGGGTCAGAAAAATCTTGCACATGATTAATATAATTCATATTAATGTACTAGCTGCAATATTCAGCGTTGTCTCAATCTCTTTATTATATATACACTCAGTTATGTCTGTGATCTATAAATCATACAGGTACTGCTACCAAACTCTTTTATTATCAGTGGAAGACCAAGAGCCGTCTACCATTATAAGCATGAAGGGGGGGGGGAGAAGAGTTATGAAGAATAAACAAACACAAGCTTCACATTGAAAAGTAGAAAGTGAATAGAGAAACGGTAATCAGTAGATGAACCTTTACTAAAATTGTACACAGAAAGAAAATGAAACTGCAAATTCCATTCTTCTGCCAATACTTCTCAAATTACGTGTTGTTTTTAAAATATGTTTATATCAAATTATAGCAATTTTATTTACGATTTGCATAGAAAAAAAATGGTACAGTAAAATATCTTTTTTCCTTAATGCTTCTCAATTTTATTTCCTTTTTCTTTTTTTATATCATTTACTCAACCTACGCAAAATTATCTTCCACAGTGGTTTATGTAAATGTATACTGTAATTTTAGCAAGTAGATGCCTTTTCTTAGTATGTGAACTATGACCTTCTACAGCTGTGAACCTTTTTGAATAAAATTAAATTTCAAATAACTGATATAATAAAGCAAGATCCTTTTAAAGTGAAAATAATATGATCCCGTTAACATAGAAACATTTTCTTTGTGTATATCACGATGTAAAAATATGCAGGACAATTCGTTAAATATGACTTGTGTTTAAATGAAACTGATCAATCATTGCCAAGAAAGTATGTTCAAATTACATACCTGCCAATATAATTTTATACTTTACTGAGAAATTAATTATCTGCCAATATACTTGAAATTAATATCACCCACTGTTTTTATTACTATTATTAGGAAATAAAGGCGTCAATTGGCAAAAAAGTTAAAAAAATAATCTTGCCCTATTACCTACTCAATAACAAAACAAATTCGTAGGTCATAATAAAAATTACAGATATCTACTTCTTAAAAAAAAAAACAAATACTTCCAGATAACCTAATTACATTAGTAATAAACATATCTAATCAAACATATGCAAACAATTATTATTATTACTACTAAAACCCAGCAGCCTCCCTACTGTATGTTTTTTTTCTAGTGCACTCTACACATATAAATAAGATAGAAGTGTCTAGTCAGTGATATCGAAATAACTGCTGTTTTAAGCTCATGATTATTTGCATAGGAGCCCACAGGATTCTTTTTTCAGGGGAGGCAAATAAATTTTTTTTGTTGTTTCATGAAATCTAATTAACTTTTGTTGCAACATCTTATTGAGTTAAGTTAAAGGATTGATTTTTTTATGAAACTTTGGTAATGTCTCTGTTGTTTTTAGCTCATTAACCTCCTGACTTACAATGCCTATTGTTAAATGGCAGTATGTAGTGGGAAACCCCGGGCGTATCAGCGAAAATACCGAGAACCAAATGCAAGGTAAAAAAACTGGGAAAGAACCCAAGCCTCGACAAAATCGCTCCACAGTCAACCAAAATAAAACGAAAAATATCAAGATGAAGCACCTATTGTTAATGAGGAAACAATTTCCTGACTTTTCCCTGACCATTACAGTTATTTCCTAACCACTTTATCGTTTGCATTTTTCTTAGAAATTTATTAATATAAATTATAATCAAGTAAAATAGTGACACAATTTGACTGACTCCAGCGTTATTAAGACATTCTCTTTTTTGAGTTTTTGCATTGTTTTTTAATGTCGAGTCGAGTTTCCCTGACTTTTTCACTTTACCCTATGAAAGTATATTACCCGTCCATGCATTTTGATGAATGAAAGAGTAAGTTGTCAACGAATGTTAAAAGTTATAATTTTTATAAGGTAATATGTTTTTACTGCATTAACTTGGAAGATTTAAAATTTTACAGGAATATGAAGTTCTAGATCTTACTATTCGAATTTATTTAAAGCTTCCACCTTAACGCAGATAAAATTTCATAGATGTAGAAAAAAGGTTGCTTGAAATTTTACTTTCTTACCCATCCAGGTATTTTAAACTGGGTATAAGTTTGAAAACTTTATCACGATAGTTGTCGACCAGCGTGGCTTCATTGTTGAAGAGGTCAAGATTTTTGAGGTACTTGAAGTCTTTCAGTGGCTCGAGTGCATCTAAATCCTTTATTCGATTTCCACTCAGATTTAACGTTGTAAGTTTTGGGCTCGTCGATAAGAGATTCAAACCATTGGTAATCCTTAAAAAAAATATAAACACTCTTGAAGACATAAAAATCCATTTTTGAGTGCAGACTTTTACGACTGTTATTTGCTATAGAAATTTCTTCCGGGTTCCGTCGGGTTTGATTTTTCTTGACGTTTCGCTGTTCATTCTGTCAG